TGCTATTTACATTCATATCGTCTGCCTTTACAAAGTAGAGTATGATTCCTATATAACTGTCTTATTTGATTTGTGACAAGCAGCTCTTAATATCTGCTCCTCTGATTTTTATCAAAACCTCTGGATCTAAGAACCTCTCTCTGCCCTTTCCTCATGAGCTCCACAATGCCAGTGCATCAATGGATATTGAAAGCCATGGGATAAACATGCTTCCTGGAGCAGAGCTTTCAGACATGGGAGCCAGAAGATGTCATTATCTGAGTATAGCGAGCCACTACATGGAGCAGTCTAATTGAACATCCCACAAATTTTAAAAACAAAGTGAGAAATTACCAATTATTTCAGTTGATGAGGTAGGTCTTCTTACTCTATCCCTTAAAATTCTGAGATATGAAGTCATTTCTGATATGTCGTTAAAGATATGGCAATGTCTCAGAAACAGAAATCTAAGACACCCATCCCTCTATTAGCCACTAATTCTTCTCAGCCTATGAAATGATCCCCCTGGTCCCCAGCACCAATGCCCTGCACACAGCCATCTTTTGCTCAGGAACTGAATGTCCTAACCCAAGGCAATCTTCGAGCCATGATATTCTTGCAAACATTGACATTTGAAACATGTGTAATGCAAAACAACAACAACAACAAAAATACCCCATAACTGCTTAGCAATAGATGTTCTGCACAATGAGTCCTGGCTGGCGAGGGGGGACGCTTTCTGCTGAAAGTCAACAGATACTACCTGCTTTATTCAAGACCAACTCAAAATGTATAAAGCTTTACATTGCATACCTTGAAAATGTAGGAGAATAAACATTCCCAGGAAAAACCTTGACAAAATGATCTAAGATTAGACTATTTTAGACTTCAAAAATTATCATTTGTATATATAAAAAAAGTCCAATGCTCTAAGCTGCTTTTAATATGTGCACAAGAATACATCTCCATTTAAGCTTTTCAGAGTAAATACATCTCTTTTTAGGGTTTGTCCTGTAACAAAGACAGTTTCAATTATTTAAAAATATCTGAAATAATGAGAAGTTGATCCATAATAAAGGATAGTTTTTTGGGGGGAAACCCCTAGCTGATGAAATCAATATTCCTCTGATGTACTGTTTATTTGTCTGATTTACTATATAAATATTTTATGATGTTTCTAACCTTTAAGGCATTCCTTAAATGCACAAAAGTCTCAGATTTGTTTTCTAAATAACTAAATGTTGGCTTCTTTTGCTTGGCAGGAGAAACAGTAGCATGAAACACGCACATTTAAAAGAGGGTGCAGCAATGTTTAATTATCATTTCAAAGGGTTGCTTCAAATACAAAACCATTTCCTGTTCCTAATCCAGTGACATTTGTCACCTGTTTTGTTTTGGGCTTTCCATTCGCTACATTTGATTTACTAAAATCAACCCAAGGGACTAAAATCACCTTATTCGGTAACAGGAAGGCTCTGATCCTATAAAACCTGTCTTGCCAACAGCAAATACTCAGGAAGGGTACACTGAATTCACATAGAACATTTTTGAGCTAGGAAGAGTGGTTCATTGCAAGAAACCAGTATTTAACTTTATAGGAAGTGCACCAGCAGACCGCCTTCACTAAACAGCAGTAAGACTGTAAGATTTGAATCAACAAGCTCAATAATTTAGTTGCTAGGTTCTCCGAGTCAAAGTGAAATAAAATTTTAGAGCAGCCCTTGAGCTAAATCAGGAAAAGTAACCAATTCTGACTTAGCACAGTGTTTTGTATGGAAGAGGCACTCAGTGAGTGGCTGATGACCCTAATGGTGGCAATGCTGTGTCAGTGTTTCTCAAAATATGCTCCTTGGAATACCTACAAAAGGAATGCAGTGCTGATCCATTCAGTTCATTCAAGAAATGATGATTAAATGTAGACACAGGGGTTATAGCAGTGAGCAGGTAAAACAAAATTTCCTCCTTTCTTGTTTTTGGTTGGGTGGAGAAAGTTGCAGACTACGAAAATAAACTATAATATCAATGGTAAATGTCTCAGGGTAAGATAAATCAGGAAAGGGCAAAGGAAGTTAAAAATGCAGGTGAGATGTTCAGAGAACTTTTCCCGAGAAGGAGACTTTTTTTTTTTTCTTTTTTTCCGTGGTACCGGGGATTGAGCTTACACTTGCCAGGCAGGCGCTTATTCTACTCAGCTATGTCCCCAGCCCTAAGAGGACTTTTGAGTAAGTAGACTCAAAGGTGAAAATTATGTAGATATCTGACAGCATATGCAAAGGCCCTGGCTGAGTTTCAAGGAATAGCACAAGGCCAGTTGGCTTGGCAAAAGGAGGTAAGAAAAATAAAGGTCTAGAAGGATGACCACAAAAGTCCTTGTAGTCATAGTAAACAGTAAAGAATATTATCTACTGAGAGAAATGGGGAAAGACTGGGGTTTTGAGCAGAAGAGTGACCTAACTTAGGTTTTTAACAGTCTCAGTCTGGCTGCTTTATTGCAAGTATGCAGCACACAAGCAAACAAGGGAAAAAGCAGGAAGAGGAGCTACTTACTTAAAAAGGTAAGCTTTGAAATTTGTGTTGTTTCTTTTTTTCTTTTAAATTATGTATTTGGCACAGGGTGTCACTATGCAGCTCGAACTCATAGTGATCCTCCTGTTTTGAGCCTCCCCAGCCCTGGGATTACAGGTGTGCACCATCACATCCCAGGCTTGTTTGCCATCTCAGCACACCCCGGGGTGGGGCCAGCATGGCATGCAGGACCAGGGGATCGAACTCTGGTCCCTGCACTTGCCAAAGCAGATGCTTAGTCCTCTGAATTATCTCACCGGCCCTTGGAATTTGTGTATGTTTTTAACCAGGTCCTTGAGTGATTCTTAGATACAGTGAAACTTAATATCTACAACTTGAAATTCCCTAAGCAATAGAGACCCCCCCAAAAAAATAAGATTTTGTGACCACATTATTTGCTAACCACTAATATATCACTTTGTTTAGTTATGAACAAACTGGATCTAAATCATTTGATACTTAATACCCTACTGATTTGGCCATGCAATCTTGAAGGAAGAAACTTCCAGAGGGATCTTGAACCTCTGCTCTGTGACATACGACACCCTCTGAGAGAGGATGCATCTGCCAAGAAGTAGACTAGAGTCATATAATCCCACAGTGGTGATGTACTATTAGGTTTCAGTGTGAGTGTCTCACAAGCACATCAAGGTTCAGCATTCAGCTAAACTACAGGAAGAGATTTTTCTCAATTTTTTAAAAAAAATTTCTTTTTAAATGAATGCAATTAAGAACTTGTGCCTAATCCTATATAGATTCTAAGTTTATATAGTATATGATTTATTCTAAACATATACATGTAATAATGATCAGTACTTTTAATATACTAAAAATACATTTTCAATTTTTTCACAATTCCTTCTGAGTGAGAATTAACAAAGCATTTGTTGTTTTATTTATTATTTTTTATTTTACAGAGGAAAAACAAAAAAACTAGAACAAATAAGAACAAAGACAGAAACAAAGCAATACAAGACAGTATAAATGGTGTAGAATTTCAGAACAAAAATGGAATATTAAAATGGCTGCTATATTGGGTATTATTTCTCTCAAATTTAAAAACTAGCATTTGTATAGTACTCTATAACCAAGAGAATAATAAAACTCACTTTTACAACATGCTACATGAATTTTTTTTACTTTATAGTCATACTACATGCACATATACACCCCTATATGTTAACTACTTTGCCATCTATTAAATAACAGAGATAAACGAACCTGTTCCTTTTTTTTTTTTCTTTTAATATTTGGTACAGAGTCTCACTATGCAGCTTGGACTCCTAGTGATCTTCCTGTTTTCAGCCTCCCCAGCTCTGGGATTACAACTGTGTGCCACCACACAGGGTCTCTGTTCCATTTATTATTCTTATTTTTATATATGCTTTTGAATTATTTTATGTGGCCTTTCCAAATCTTGCACACAAAGGGCCAGCCAAATAGCTCAGTGGATTAAAGTGCCTGCAAGCATGTGCAGGGGTCAGGGGTTTGATCCCCGGGCCTGCTATGCCGGCCCTGTCCCCGGGGTGCACTGAGATGGCAATTGAGACTAGGTGTGGTGGCGCGCACCTGCAATCCCAGCTCTTGGGAGGCTGTAAACAGGTGGGTCACTATGAGTTTGATCTAGTAGTGAGACACTGAACACCTTGTAGGCCCTTCCCTAAGATACAAAAAAAAAAAAAAAAAAAAAAGATCCTGAACACAGTAGGCATATAGTTAAACTCTTAACTGATCACACACAAACCAATCTAGAGCAAAGAAGCACCAGCAATGCGTCATCAGGTATTTTGTTCTTACATTTTATTTAAACTTCTTTGATTCATCCAGAACCAAAACTTAAAATTTCAAGAGGATAAACCTTAGTAAGTGAAAAGGACATAAATATATTAAAGTGGACTTACTGGACCAACAATTGACTTTTCAGGAGGACATTAGCCTCTGGCTGCTATTTTTCCTTGAGCACAGTTTCTCAAGGTTTTTGATCCTGAAGACCCTGTTCAGTGTGAATTTTTACAGACATACAAGGTAAACTGCATTTTTAAAGAGCATTCATTGTTAATAGTTGCCGAGGTACAGGCTGTTATTTTGATTGAGTACAGATAACTGATTATAAATAATGGATACTGATTACCTTCTTGAGAGGAAGAAGGCTCGAGGTGTTGAAGTTTAAGGCCAGTGTCTAATCTCTGAGGCTTTGTGTACAGAAATAAATAGCAGAGGACGCAGACGCTGATGACAAAGGCAAGTAAAACAAGGGCAGCAATTCCCAGCCCGATCAGAGCGCCAATGCTGAGGAACAGAAAACACATGGATTGGCTTGCATACAAAGGAGAAGGGGTAAAAACATTAATTCTTCTCAAATATTCATAACCAAGTTATATTTTAGCATAAACAATGAATGAAATCTGTAGCTTGCTTTTTCTCTACCACCAAACTCTTACTTTTTTTTCTATAGGGTTTTGAGATTCTTCGAAAGTTATACGTTAATATGAATAAGGAAGACCGTACAAATTCATTATATATATAAAAAAAAATTCACAAGATTCTCTAGGCAGTTCAAAACTATCTCAATCTAATATATTTGTTATTATTATGTTTTAGAAGGAAAGATCATGATTTTTAAAAAGATTTTGCTTCTATGAAAGCTGTAAAGCAAATGTTTATTTAAAAATACAATTTTTTTGGAGACATATATAGGAGATGCTATTTATTGTTACACAAAATTACAAGTACTAAAAAAGAGAAGGTTTGAACTAAAGGAAAACAACACTTAGAAAATATATGTGAAGGGGGCCTGCCCCTTAGCTCAGTTCTTTAAGTGGCTGCTTCAGCAAAGCAGTCAGGCTCAGGTTGCTGTGGTTTGATCCCCACAACTCAAGCCAGCCAAACCTGCCCTGAAGGCATTCGGAGCAAAAAAAAGAAGAAGAAGGAGAAGGAGAAGGAGAAGGAGAAGGAGAAGAAAAGAAAATATATGTGAAGTCCAAATTCAATCTAAACTTTTACTTTTGAGAAGGGTATCACACCAAAGACTTCTAGCCTTAAGGAAGCAACTCATACTTTTCTCTAAAATTAAGGTGTCAACATGGCTGCACTGACAAAGGTTCTACAATCTGAGGTACAGGATCTCAAGATAAATCCTGAGGGCATTTCACTGACCTTCTCAGACCAAAAAGCT